GCATGCTAGTACTCAGCCAGTGCTGCTACGTAATTATGGATGAAGCAGATCGTATGATTGATCTTGGTTTCGAAGAGCCTGTCAACAAGATCCTGGATGCCCTCCCCGTCACGAACGAAAAGCCCGATACAGAGGAGGCAGAGAATTCAACTGCGATGAGCCAGCACCAGTACCGCCAGACTATGATGTACACAGCCACTATGCCTGCCGCGGTCGAGCGCATTGCTCGCAAGTACCTCCGCCGACCAGCCATTATCACCATTGGTGGCGTCGGTGAAGCCGTCGACACAGTGGAGCAGCGCGTAGAGATGATCTCCGGCGAAGACAAGCGCAAGAAGCGCCTCGGCGAAATCCTCTCATCTGGCGAGTTCCGTCCCCCGATTATTGTGTTCGTCAACATCAAGCGAAACTGTGACGCTATTGCTCGCGAAATCAAACAAATGGGCTTCTCCTCAGTTACTCTACACGGATCCAAAACTCAAGACCAGCGTGAAGCCGCGCTCGCCTCCGTGCGCAACGGCTCAACAGATGTCCTCGTCGCAACTGACCTCGCAGGAAGAGGTATTGATGTGCCGGATGTGTCCCTGGTCATTAACTTCAACATGGCAACCTCAATCGAGAGTTACACTCATCGTATCGGTCGTACTGGTCGTGCTGGAAAGAGTGGTGTTGCTATCACCTTCTTGGGCAGCGAGGATAGCGATGTTATGTATGTTACACCCATTTCTTTCCCTTTTACATTTTGTCGCTGTCTCATACTAACACTTCTGCAGGTACGATCTGAAACAAATGCTGATCAAGTCACCCATCTCGCGTGTCCCCGAGGAACTGCGCAAGCACGAAGCGGCGCAGTCCAAGCCCACACGCGGTCCTGGCGGAAAGAAAATCGAGGACAGTTCTGGGTTCGGAGGCAAGGGAGGTTGGGCATAGGCCTCTCCGCTATGCTTCTCTTCTTTCTGTATTATCTTCCATCGATACCACCCTTTTTTTTCTCCCTGTGAGATGTTTCAATCTACGTTTGGCGGCCGAGATGACCGTATGAGGCGTTTTTCTGGCAATCAAATACACCATTCATGACCCCGGGAGGCTTTTGTGCCATTTTTCTCAAAACTCAGTCACATGTTGTTATCATGATGTAGTTAGGTATTGTAATCAGAGCATATATTCTATCTAGCTAGCCCTAGTCCATACGAGCACTTAGTCTACAAGATATTGGGTAATTGAGTAGAGTATGAATTTAGCTCAAAGAAGCACATCCTGCGTGCTTTCTGTATTTAACAATGTAAAAAATAATGTGCAGTCGAAGGAAAGTTCGCTGCAAGCCCCGAAAACAAAGAATCCCCGTGTATCCAAGAGATCTATGAATCTTGTTCAGCTACTTTTTACTAAATTTACAGCTTGCTCTGGAGATAGCTGTTGGTGCTCAGCCACTGCTCAACATCGTCACGGTCACGCTTGAGCCAGTTGATCTTGGCGCGGATGGCGTCAAGACTCTGCTCAACAGCACGGTCGAAGCCCTGCAAGAAAGATCCGAATTAGTAAATATTACAAAAATATATGAATTCCAGATGAAATTCTGGCGAAGTTACTAACCTTAGTGTCCTTAGAGGCGAAGAATTCCTCAACATCCTTCAACTGCGCCTCAGTGCAGAAACTGGCAGTGGTCAGCTGGACAACAGTGCCCAGCATGCCGAGACCGGGAGGAAGACGCTTATAGATGTCATCCCAGTTGGACTTGAGCCAGTTCCAGCGGCCCTCGACACCAGCCGGGTGGCTGCGGAGACCGCCGAGCGGCATATAAATATCCTGGCTCTTGACCTCCTCGTTCATGGCAAGGCCAAGAGTGCGGGCGATAAGCTCGGGATTCTTAGAGGCACCGAGGCAGCGCAGGGCGGTGGTCTTCTCGTCCGAAGTCTGCGCATGGCGGAAACGGTCCAGGACCACTTCGTACTCCTTGACACCGCCGTGCTTCAGGGCAATAGTGAAAACACTACCGCGGATGTTGGGGTGGATGGCGGAGAGGTCGCCGGCAGCGTAGCGGGCGAACATGTCCAAAGCGGCCTTAACGACAACCGGGTCCTCGGCCATACCGGCAGAGCCGAACATGAGGGCCTTGAACTGCTGCAGAATGTGGTCGTCGTTCTCGGGGAACTCCCAGCCGATCTCGTGGGCCTTGGGGGCAACCAGCGAGCGTTGGAAGGCCTTGAGGGCATCCTTTGTCTTGTCATCCTCGAAGAGCCAAGCAGCACGCAGGGTGCCGATACGGGTCAGGATCTCGTTCCAAACGACGAACTCTGACTCGGTATCAAGGCCCTGGAGCAAGGAAAGCATACCAGAGGTGCGCTGGAAACCAGAAGCTGCCAGGGCACCGGAGTCGGCAATCATGCCGGCACGGTCCTCGACACTCAGGCGGCCATCACGGGCAGCCTGGCCGAGCTTCTTAAGGCGCTCAGGGCTGTATGATGTGCGGAAGATGGCAGAGTGATCAGCGTTGAGCTTGAAGAAGTCGAGATCAGGAACGGGGAAGTCACGCTCGCGCTCCGTTAGCATAGTGTCTTCATCAATACCCTTATCAGTGCGCAGACCGAGCATCACGGGGAAGAGGGTCTGGTCCTCCTCGGGACGAACGTCACCGGTACGCAGGAAACGGTTCTGCTTCACGTGAATGGAAGAGTTTTCCTTGTTCTCGGTGACGCTGAGGACGGGGAAGCCAACGTTCTTGGTCCAGATGTCCATAACCGACTGCACGGGTTTTCCACTGGCATCAGCAAGAGCAGTCCACAAATCACCGGTCTCGGTGTTACCGTAGGCGTGCTTCTTGATGTAGTTGCGGACACCCTGGAGGAAGACATCCTCGCCCAGGTACTTGGAGATCATGCGCAGGACAGAGGAACCCTTGGAGTAGGAGATAGCATCGAAGATCTGGTTGATCTCATCAGCACGCTTGACGGGCACCTCAATAGGGTGACTGCTGCGCAGCGAGTCAAGCGAAAGAGCACTCTGCAGGTTGTCGATAACGTAAGTCTGCCAAACCTTCCACTCTGGGTAGAAGACGTTGCAAGAGTACCACGACATCCAGGTCGCGAAACCCTCGTTGAGCCACAGTCCATCCCAGAAGTCCATGGTGACCAAGTTTCCGAACCATTGGTGAGCCAGCTCGTGTTGGACGGTCTCAGCAATACGCTCCTTTCGGGACGCGCCACTGTTCTTCTCGTCCAACAGCACATCGACAATACGGTATGTGATCAGACCCCAGTTCTCCATGGCTCCTGCACTGAAATCAGGCACAGCGACCATGTCCATCTTTGGCAGAGGGAAATCACTGTCAAAGGCCTTCTCGTAAAAGGCTAGAGTCTTGGCAGCAAGCTCCAATGAGAACTGGCCGTGCTCAATATTCTGGTCGGGGGTGGCGTACACACGGATGGGAACCCGGAAGTTCTTTGTCTCGATGTAGTTGAGCTTTCCGACAATGAAAGCAACGAGATAAGTGGACATGAGGGGCGAAGTGGTGAATTTCACAGACTTCTTCTCAGTACCCTGAATCTCGGTCTCTGTATCAACATCCATGTTACTCAAGCAGGTCATGCTCTTATCTGCAACCAAAGTCACAGTGAACTTGGCCTTGAGAGCAGGCTCGTCGAAACAAGGGAAGGCCCGACGGGCATCCGTAGGCTCCATCTGAGATGATGCAATGTACTTAGTCTCGCCATTCTCTTTGTATGATGATCGGTAGAATCCGGCCATGTTATCATTCAGAATACCAGTGAAGGTAAGCTTCAACTGGGCATCCGACCCCGCAGAGATAGCCTGACCGAACTTGATGGTTGCGGTCTGGGCATCCTTGTTGAGGGAGATTTCGGGCTTCGAGTCTACCACTGAGCCTTTGGATGAAACAATTGCGCTGTGAATTTCGATCTCGTTGGAATTGAGGGAGATGAAATCAGTGTCCTCGGTCACATCAAGACTATATGTAAATGTTAGTGACTGATATACTAATATATAACTGTGTGCGAATAACATACTCGATGATAACTGTTCCCTCGTATGTGAACTTCTCAAAGTTGGGCTCCAGTGTCAAATCATAATGCTGGGGCTTGACGTTTGTAGGTAGGACCTCACGGCCCTGAACGTTTGTTGACCCGGAGGTCTCGCGGCGTGAGCTACACATTCTGCGGTAGGAACAGTATCGTTTGGCGGTCTGTGATAGCGGAGAAGGAGAGCGGCGTTGAATTGATCTAGGAACTGAAGCTTGAGAAGAGCGAGCGGAAACAAAGAGGGGGAGGGGAGATCTGGCGGCAATAAGCGGTGGCTTTGCTTGCTGCAGAAGCACGCGCGTGGAGAAACGTCGCATCAGCTCCACGAACCCGAATATCGGGAGAAAAAAGAAGGGGGAAAAGGAGAAGAAAGAATAAGAGGTATTAGTATTAAATAATTAAATAGAACCAAATGCGAGAACAATTGAACCACAGACTGGATACCAACGGTCAACAGAAGAAAAACATGAGATCAGAGTCCGGCAGATTCGAAGGCGGTGAATACAGGTGGTACTCCTACTTTCCGTCTTTTTTTTTCTTCTTCTTCTTTTCTTTTCTTCAACACGCAAATTCACCCAGTGGATGTCTAAATTCTATATGACAGACAACTGATTGGAATGGCTTTTTATGCTGTTATCTTGCAAGACATAATACCAGCAAGTTTGAGGGGCTCATGACAGTTTCAATCGATTCTCTTGGGTGGGCTACCATAGAAGACTGGAACATACAGCAATACAGCACCGCGGCTCATTGCTCTGATGTCACAGCTTTATAGGGCATGACAAGGCAAGCGGTAATGAGGTTCCTTGAATAATGAATGGTTCTATTCTGTTATTACCTATTACTAGTAGCATCTGATGGGAATTTCTTCCAAGTCGCCATGACAAGTGTTAACTCCGTAGTACATAAAAAGCTGAAAGCTGAAATTAAGCCATTCGATCATCGATTATATCATATAAGGTATCTCTAAGAATGCAATGCTTGGGCCTGCGGTAGTCGCGTAAAAACACTGCGAGACCATCCATCGGCATCCACGACAGACTCCTTGACGAGCACATATCCACCAAACCGAGGCATCAACACTGCCCATACAACGTAGTAGATTGCTCCTGCTCCGAAAAGCGCCAAGGCTACCACACAGTGTAGGTAGTATGGTAGTTGCTGATACACATTCTCGCCACCGCTTGGCGGCACATATGGCGCAATCGCGAGGTACAGGTTCGACAGCATGAAGAAGATGGTGACGGGTAGGGTGGCACGGACTCCGGGCGCCCAGTTCGGGTAATTCTTCTCTTTGGTGAGGTAGATATGAACGAGGCCAGCGGCTACGAAGAAATTGACAATTGAGAGAGGGTAAGAGATGAGGCTGGGACAATTGGTCAGTAATGATCTTGCCTGTGCCTTCGGAAATCACATACTTAAGGAGGAAGTTGTACGCATCACCGGGAGGGGGGGCGAGCAGGATAACGGCTGATACAATATAATGCTCAAGCAGGCCAGCTGCTGGCGAGTGGAAAGGCCAGTTACTAGCCCAGATCTTGGAAAAGGGCAAGACACCTTCACGGCCGAGCTCTTGGACAACTGTTTCAAGATCCTATTAGTATACCATCCAATTGTGCAATTGGGAGAATACATACGTCGTCCTTGTGAGAAAATGACGGATAACACATTGCCAAATGCAGAGAGAGCCACAAAGACAGACATGACTCTCTCGGCCTGTTTGCCGAACATGTTTCTGAAGAAAACGCCGGCCACAATGGTGCCAGAGCTGAGCATATCTTCTTTTGAGACAGCAGCGAAATAGGCAATGTTGACAAACATATATAAAATGCCAACGGATATAATAGCAATGGGGGCTGCAATCTTCAACGTGCGGGCTGGGTTCTTTGTCTCGCTCAAGGCCTGTGAATGTAATTAGCAATACGATCAGTAGAAATCATATGTCTATGTCCTTACATAGTTGGCATTCGAATAACCAATAAAGGACCAGATAACGTTGTACAACGCCATGACAATTCCGTATCCGCTTCCCTCGGTGCCTTCGAAGGCATTGGTGAAGTTATGCGGCGTCTCAGCCTTTGTGTGGCCACCAAGTGCCACAAACCCGCAAACAATGATGAACAAGACGATAACCAACTTGAAAACACCAAGCACATTCTGAAGGCGAATACCCCATTTCAAGGCAACGGAGTGGATAAGAAAGGCGGCAGTGAGACAGGCCAGGCCAATTCCACGTTGATTCCATCGTCCGACCTCAACATCTGCTGCGTTGAGGATGTATTGACCGAAAACAGTGCTGTTACTTGCCGCCCATCCAAGTAACACGGCATAGGCGGCAAACATAACAGTGGCCAGGAATTTGGGCTTTTTATAAACGTATTCGAGGTAGTTCTTTTCGCCTCCGTTTCTATAAACAGCCAGGTTAGTCAGTCGTTTATCCTCTTCCATACCCTCGTTGTTCAATACATACTTTGGAATTGCAGTACCCCATTCTAGGTACACTGCTGTCCCAGCCAGAGCAATAATAGTGCCAGCAACCCACATGAACAATGCAAGTCCGACACTACCAGTCAGTCTAAGGATAGTGCCCGGTGTAGCGAAGATACCCGTGCCAATCACGCGGTTAAAGATTAAGAAAGCAGCACTGAAAATGCCAATCTGACGACGGTTGTCGGGTGTTGTCTCGAAGACATTTCCTTCATCTGAAAGCGGAACGATTAGAGGTGTCACTCAGTCATGCCTCAACCCTCATAAGGAAAAACATACACAATCCCGAGATACCATCTGCTCGTTGGATGCCATCATCTCCTGCTGGCTTTGTGTCAAATACTGGTGACTTGTTGGAAGCCTCGACAACAGGATCAACCCGTTCAGCCATTATGTTTTATAGAGTACAGACCGAGTCACTGCCCACACAGTGGAATCGATCGACAAATATTTGTATTCCGCTGAGCGTTTGAAAAACAAGTTTAGCACGGCTAGCCACGGGGCAAAAATGAGGTGCTGGCACTAAATTTGATGCCATAGGTCATTGCGGCTGGGCAGAGTCTCATACTACCTTGGAAATCACCATTTCAAGCTAGTACATCACCAGATGGAGGCAAAGGTACCTGCCGATTTGTGGCTTTTCTCCCGTAGTATTCGGCTCACTGTCTGGAAGAATTCCAGAAGCTTGGGGCAAATACAAATTGCACCATCGCCTAGCCGGGCCGAATATAATATCTAACGTTACATACGGAGATACGGAGTTCAGAACGGTGACAACCCAATTGGACACATATTTTTCTTGGAAAGGAATAACAGCACATGATCCATGTCGTCTATATTAACCATCCTAGCGCAATATAACAAGAACTAGGAAAAAGAAGAGAAAAGTCTCCGATGCCGGGGATGCCGTGGGCTGCCGAAAATCTGTACGGGGCCGGGCCGTGTTTAAACTACTGTAAACGTGGTATACAACATATATAAATCTATTATTCTGTTAGATATTTGGTTATTTCGGAAAATGCAAGATATGTAAGACATAAAAGACATCAAAATTGAGACAATTTATTAATATGGGTTAAGCTAAAATGTGTCAGAATAATCATCCAGATATCATGATTTTGAGGGAATTCACTGCCTAGAGAACGCCTAGAAAAAGCCAAGAGGCAAAAGAGGCAGAGGCTAAAAAAGAAAGAATAAATAGTGAAACTATGACACATAGTCAAAGCACGCCATTGTTAGCGTTGTTGACGTTTAAATCGATGCCAAGCTTAACTTTATATTCTGATATTGATTTTCTAACATGTGTCACTACCTACGTTTACAATATATAGAATCAAAATGTAAATCACTTTCCTCAATTTCTATATGTACAATACATCTGGCAGTATCTGCACCAAATCCAATCTTGGAGCACACCAACGCCGTGACCTTGTTCCCAACCCAAAAAGAAATTCAGTGCCAATCTGTATACCGTGGGTCCCCGGGGTCAAACGCCAATTCGAACGAAAATAGAAAACAGGAAAAAAAAAAGGCAATAAGACATGACATGGCAAGAAATAACACAAGAACTCCCCTGATCTCGTGCTGTAGGATATATGGCAAAACGTGAGCTGGAAAAAAACAGATCGGAAGACAAATATGAACGAAGAAATTAGTATCTCCGCAGAGACATAATTGGCAGATAAATGGCAAAAGGAGGAACATGGCCCTGGAACTAGCCAGAAGGGTACCATATATAAGAAGGACGGGGAAACCAAAAGTCAATCGTTAGCGTCGTGAGTAAAGCCTTATACATATAGGGCTATAATCATGACGCTACTGAGTTGAACAATCTAGTAATTCCAATAGATTTGGTGGGAATTTGGTGGACAACAGTGCTTTATCTAGGTGGTGTCACCCCCGTGGCATACGAAACAGGAGAAACGGTGGATGTAGGTATCTTGCCCGCACTGCCCACCGGAGTCGATACCGAAGAGCGCTTGGATAGAACAGCTAGCTTCTTCCGGACAGATGCGAGGCGACCACGCATACTAGATACGACTAGAGAAAGGTATGAGTTTTGGATGGGTTTGGTAGGCGGGTTTAGATAAGACTTACGTTTGACAACGACCTGCCGATCCTCCACCTGCAGCTCGTCCAAAATGACCTTGTCACCAGGTTGCGAACTACTTTGCCGTTCGATGTTGCTACCTGGCATAGATCGGGTTCCGTCATCCTCAAGCACAGCTTCGAGCATGCGAATCGCAGTCACATATGTAATCTCACAGTTAGCAAGATCTTCGCCAGTCAATTCATTGATGGCAGCCGCCCGGCTCATTTCAAGTGCGCGGTCGTACATCAGCCTCTCTGCTGTAACGCCAGGGCTCACCACTACATCGGCAGTTGAGGTTGAGCCGGCGGTGGAGCCGATAGAATGATTATCTGGATGACTAGGATGATCTAGGGGTAATCGACGTTGGCCCTCGATGAGTTTTAGGCGCACAAATTCAGCTTTTTCGATGACCTCATTGAACCGACTGCGCACCCATTGCACAACGTAGTTAATCCGGGTACCAGCAACTGCGCTTATGTTGTCTTTGGTAGGAGACTCTCCATAGATCTCCTCCCGGTTCTTGCGCGACCACCAAGCTCCAGCAATATCCATTGACTTTGCAAGCAAAGACAAAGCCTTGACATATAGGACTAGAGCTTCCTCAGACAATGTAACAATAGCATCGACTGTCAGGCCATCATCGGAATCAGCAGAGTCTGGTTCAACGTTTGTGTCCAGAGGTCTCGCAGATGGGTCAGTTGGTGCCGAAGGTGCTAACGGAATAAGCTGCTTGTATTTTACCTCAGCAAACCCGAAGACAACGTCACTACGCGTAGCGCATTCTTCGATTTCCTGAACTGCCTTGTAATCTTCGTCGAAGGTTCCGTTGTTTTTGGTTCCATCTCCAGTGATCAAAAGACTAGCATTCGCAGGAGGATAGGCGGGGAAAGGATTGTAGGCTAGAGGCGGCGAGCGCCCACCTTTGGTGATGGCAAGGGGAGGAGAGAAGCCCATTCCGAACAGACGACCGCTGGCCATGTTGAGTGCTTTCGAAATTGCCGAGGTCGCCGACGTAGGACTTTGCCCGTAACGTCGCTCGTAAGAATGCTGGCGCTGGTGTGTGGAATCTGTTCGCGGACGACCCGTAACAACCTGCATGGCTTTAGCTGCATTGGCATGTGGAGAAGACGGTGACACAGTAGGTAGACCCTGCGTTGTTGCTCGTCGACTCCCGGCACCAGTTTGTCCTGGTCGAGAAAGCCCGCCTTGGAGGCGTGGGCTATGAGCCAGCTCATCTGCAAAGGCGTTGACCTCCACGGCCCGCTTTTCGACCACAACATAGTCTCTCTCAAATGCTACTTCTTGTGCAGCGCGATCCCGTGCCTCCTGGGCACGGGCTGTTGATTCATTCACTTTGGGAGAGCCAGTGTACGTATTCCGATTTCTCTGCCGATCCATGGCTGCGGAAGTTGCGTTGCGATCAGTGAGCTCCTGGCGTCCTGGAGCAGTGGCAAGGCTGACAGGTACAGGCCGTTGCGGTGGTGTACCTCCCAGTTGTTGCCCCTTGGAGATGCCCGAAGCAGGCCGGTCAGCACTTCCCACATGGCGCACGCGCGTAGGGGTCGGCGGCGTTCCTGATTTTTGACGCGTTGCAACAGGTCTTTGGCCGAGAGCATATGCAAGCTTCTCTTCAGATCCAGTATCGTAAGGAGATTCTTCGGTCTTTGTAACAAGCTGCCTCGGCCGTGGTGACCGTGGTGGCCCTGGGACATCATCTGCTACTAAGCCAGGAATCGGATCGTTTATCACATTGTTGTTGAAGAACTCGGGGAAGTTTAAGCGTTCCACCGGGTTTCGTTTTAAGAGACCTCGAATTAGCCTTTTGATGTCGTCTGAAGCGGGGTTATCTTCAGGAAAGCGGATTCGGTCTTCTCCCTTCTCAATCTTTCGCAGCAATTCGACATGATTTGTGGCCCGGAATGGGGGTCGGCCCACCACCATCTCATAAAGTACAGTACCTACTGACCATAAGTCGGCCTTGGCATCATATTTCTCATATCGGAGAATCTCGGGTGCCATGTACAATGGAGATCCACAAAGGGTTTCCGCAAGTGAAGTGGCGGGTAGAGATCGAGCGAAGCCGAAATCTGCGATTTTGAGCATGGGGAGAGATTCGAGTCCCGTTATGGGCTCGTAAGAGCCATCGCTGCCTTTATATGGAATCACCTGGGCATTTCCATTCCGATAAGACGAAGGTGAGGGACACAGCAAGAGGTTTTGCGGTTTGATATCTCGATGAATGAGGTTTCGATCACGAAGGAATTTCAGTGCGCTTGACAGTTGCTTGAGGAAGTGCCGGGTGACCACCTCGTTAAGCGAGGCGCCGGGTGGATTTGGATATTTTGCAATCATATCCCTAGTGTATTTATGTGATGCGAGAGTATCTCGGCGCTTGATGAACAGCGACAGATCCCCTAACGCACAGTATTCCATAACCAAATGAATGTGAGATGTTGATTCATGGCAGTCGATCAGGGCCACAATATGTGGGTGCTGGAGGCCCTTGAGGATATCGATCTCAGACGAAAGGTTTTCTTTGAGCTTCTTGTTGAGCTTCGACAAGTTCACAGACTTGATTGCTACATATGTTCTTGTTTTCTGTGTGATAGAAATCGATTAGTATCCATCACTCGACATGTGAAGATAAGGCATGACTCACTGTGTGAACTCCTTGATAGACCGTCGCGAAACTACCTCGCCCGATCTCATCAAGACGCGTGTAGCGACCGATAGACATTTCTGGACGGGAGGGCTCACGCGATCTCCTCGAATTGTGGGACGCCATAATGGCGGTGGGCACGCCAATGCCTGTTTTGTCTGATAGACTCGCGCTGGGGGTAAATAAAGATCGAGTCACACCCCAGCAACTACAACTACCTCAGCAGCAGCAATGTAAACGCTCGACGCGAGAGGCCCATGAGGGGAGAGCTATAGGAAGAATGACGCTGCTTCCGGGAAGCCTGGAAGGGCGAGGAACCGCCGGGAGAATGAGTCTGGGAAGGTACTGTAAAAGAGTGCCGTGGAACGAGACCGGTGAACTCGGGTGGATTATAAGAGATGATGTCGATGTAAACGATGTACTTCTAGGAAGCAAACAAGTTGATCCAAAACACTTAGAGCGGTGAGGGGTGTGATGCAGAATAGCCAAATGACGGGAAATTTGGAGGTTCGAGTATAAAATGGAGAGAACCAAAGATCTAGGGAGGCGAAATGACAGTTCTCATGGAAGAGCAAGATGATGTGATGGTGGAAGCGGGAAGGGGACCCCAAGACCCAAGGATACTCCACGATTGGGGGGGGGTGTGACCCAACGATAACGAGTGACAAGCGGCGATGATCGCGTAAGGCGGTCAGAAGGGCGGAGATGATCTGAAGTTCCGATAAGATGAAAACGTATGGGGAAGTCTCAAGAAAATGAGAGATGAGAGAGAAATGATGAATAATGATAGAGAAAATGATGGAATGATGGAATGATGGAATGATGGAAAACTATGAGAAATATAGGATACAAGCCCCTTCCAAGACACCAGGAACCTGCGAACAGAAGTCCAAAACGCTGCGATCTAGGTCATGTGCTTATCGATTAGATAAGGCCAAGATCGGCAAGGCAGATACCGAAAGATCTCCAGTATTCCCTGTTACAATCGGAGACTTGTGAAGGAATCATACGTACTCTGTGGGGTCAGACTCAATATATAGTGAGTGGACTTGGTCAAGGCTCCTTTTGATATGTCATCCCTAATATTCCAGCATCTGCATGTAAATCCTACCAAATTGCAAAGTGACTGATCATTAAGTCCGATGAAACCGTACGGTGACGGAAGCTTATCTGCAGCCTATGAGTCCCTGTCAAGGCGCATCGGTTGGTCGAATTGAGAGAAAGGGGGGAAACTAAGGCAAGGCAGATATGCAATAATGCGCCGCTATTATAGGCATCCAAAAATCGTCCCTAGTTGAGTAATTGAGGTCAATCTATACATCCTCAAGCTATGTACCCCACTATACTATACAAAATGCCGCAGGGATATGATAGGTAGATAATAACGCGAAACCTCCGAACAAAAAGAAAAAAAAGAATAAGAAAAAAGAAACGAGGAACGAAAAGCAAAAGTCGCGCATCTATACATATTCAACGTGGCACATCAAACGCCTAGACCCCGCACCAGCAACCATAGCACCACTGGGACCACGACGTTGTCATTACAGCCAGTGAGGATCGCCTCGGTGGCGCTGGTTCCGGCAGCCGCCAGAACCGCCTTGAGTAAAGTCCAGGCCCAGAAGTGGGTGGACAAAGCTGCACCTTCGACTGATTCGACCCCGGACACGGGCCAACCACCGAGCACCAGCCAGACACGAACTGCGATCAGCCCGCAGGTCACTGCTGCGACGAAAGCGATGCTGCCTTCAAGTGATTTGCCGCCACCCCAGAACCATTTCACTCGACCGTACCTTCGTCCAACAAGGGATGCGGCCGCATCGCCCATGCCAACACAGATAACTCCGCTGGCCATGCTCACATCTCGTGAGGAAATTTCCCAACCGGCCCAGGGGCCTAGGCCAGTCCGAGGAAGATCAGAAAGTGACAGCCAAAGAGGTATCGAACATCCAATTAATAAGAAGATATGTGAGATGATAACTGGCCCACGGTGATCACGACCATCAACATACGGGGCCAGGAAATATGTGAGCGGCCGTGAAATTGGAGGTAATTGAGAGGCGCGGAACAGGTCCAATAGGAGGAAAATGGAAAGAACTAAGGCCAGCGCCATGGCGCAGAAGGCTGGATCCACAAATATAGAAGGAAGGAACATCACCACCATCATACCGTGGAAAATCTTGCGGCGCGTATCAACCTCAGCGACAGAGCTGAGTTTAACCACGATAGCCAGGCCTGTCAGTAGTACCAACGCGCAGTAGCCACTGATTAGTAGACGAGTGATGGCGGCCCCAAAAGTAAACTGGCGAATATGTTCGATCGATCCGAGGAAGCAGGAGGCACTCAAAATATCGTCATCTGGGCGAGGTGGCAGTTCAATCCAGTACTCAAGGTTCAAAATAAGGACCCAAAAGCGAATCTTGGAGAAATTCCCAAACAAGTAGCCTACAGCCCAGCCAAACGGATCCTGGCCTTGCAACGCGCGTTCTGCTACGTACTTTCGGATAGGTCCAAGAATGATGATCAGGCATAGAACATAGATGTAAAAGGCGTACAGCCATTTGCGGACCTGCGCCTGGGCTGAAGTGAGAGAGAGGAAGGAGGCCAGACCAGGACCCATCATTTTCTTACGTCTGCCACCTGGGGTAGTGCGAACGCGCTCCTCTCGGAGAACTTCCTCGAATGTGGATATAGTATGGCGCCGGCGGTGCACCTTGCGAGCATGTTGCTGGAATATCTCTTCCGTCGTGATCTTGTCAACTGCAGATGCCGGCTGTGCTGGCGGGTGGGAAGAGCGATTATGCCGCATGGTCTTCGTCTTGCGCGGCTTTGAAAACGGGAACCCATTGGGCCCATCACTATCGGACGATGCTTCGTCCGATGGAACGTGTCCCGCTCTACTCAACTTCTCACAAAGTCGATGGTCCAGCATATTCAAGAATTTGCGGAAAAAATGCGAGCCATGCGGGGCGCGGCGGAATTTCCAGCTAGGGATTCTGGCTAAAGAAACCTCCCAACGCAATATATGTCGACAAGAAGCAAACAAACACATACCGCCAAGCCATAATAAGGCTTTGAGAATCTCCATCTGGGGAGAGGCCGCAAACAAGTACAAGTTGATTAAAGCAGTTGTCAAAAGCTGTAGCTCAGCGGGAAGAATGCTGGTCGTCAACAAAAAGTCTAAAGTGGGTATCAACGCTTGATGCAAAGGGAAAAGAAGGATTAGGAATTCCGCGTCGAGCCCGCGAAGCGTCAATGGTTTGGGCACTGAATGGTCCAAGGAGAAATGCTCAGCAACGATAATTGGAATCATAGAGATCATCCAATGGACAGTATTGAATCCATTGGTGCGGTTCTGGAATGGTATAACAGGCGTTGGTAAAGAGGACAGGCTGAGGATGATATTAGGCATGATAAGTGGCGGAAGATGGTTTGACAGCGACAACGAAACGAAGATAGGGATAAGAATCGGATAGAGAAGAGGAGCCGGATCGAAGCTCGAGGGTATTGAGAAGTATTTCCGCCTGGTCCAGATGCGCCAGATGCGCCAGCTTCGGCCCTGGGATGCACGAACCATGAGCGGATAGGCGGCATAGAGACCCGAGACCACGAGACCATGAGTAGCAATCTCTGTATAAATCAATTAGCGCATTACACTCGTTTTTTCCGTGGCAATTTCAGCTTCCAACATACCCTTTCGCCATTCCCAAGCTAAAGAGCGCGCCCCGTCTTGGTACAAGACCACACCACCCACAGACAGCAGAAGCGCGGCCTCCAACAACCGCCGGAGGATCTCCACGCGTCTCTGGCGTCTAAACCTCAATCTCTCCTCGAAAGCCTCTTCCTCGAGTTCCTCTTCCGAGCTCCGCCGCGAGGATCGCAACATAGGTCGCACAAATAACGGCCACGGTTGCAAGCTAGGCAGCCAGGGATCAACGTCGGTGGAACCAACTCCGCCAGATCGCAGGCCTTTTCGAGGACGGGGTGGCGGAGCAGGTAATCCCCTTAGGATCCCTGTGCTTTCATCATCTGCCTCTGTGCCACTGTCGCTGGTTGTTCTCGAGGATTTGGAGTATGAGGAGAGCGGGTGGAGACGGTCGCCATGCTCGGAGGGAGTACATGATCCGAGGCGTTGGCTTCTGTGGTATGGATGGGGGGAGCGATTGAATAATCGGACGTCTTCGGCGAATGCTTCGGGGGTCGGAGGTATGCTGCTGGAAGACGTCGCTTCTTGTTCTTCTTTCCACGGCGAACTCATGGCGCCATGCTTATGTCGATGAGTACGTCATGTCCGAGTAGGACAGTGATATACAGTATATGGGGAGGATAGGGGAACTCCCGGTAAGTCAGTAGGACACGTAAAGATTTAGTCCCGTTTATATTCAATATCGGAAATATTGAAAACGTGGCAGAGAGAGAATGAAACGGTTGTTCTCTTTCCTGAATGCGGAAGGGATTTTGCCTATCACATGCGAGAGGCCAGTGCACCGTACATTGATGTACGAGGTATGAGATGGACATTCAACGATGTCTGAGCTGTTGAATGTCGATTTCTGAGCTTTAAATATATTTTTTTTAAAATGTTTAGCCAAATCGAGTAACTTTATTCTTTCTTAAATAGTTCCTAACTAAGTTGCTGCAGGACCACACCTGCACTCAACCTTCGTCCTTCTCGCCCCCATACTGATCTGCATGGCACGACTTGACCTGGCCACAAGGCTTCAGGTACGGAGTGCGTGATGTATAACACAGCCTGAGACAGACTGGAATCTCGACAGTGAGCTTCTTTCACTGATCTCAATATTTGCTTCAATGTATCGTCCGACGAACCCGCGTCGATCTCGATATTGGTATACTTGTATTGACCGTCCATGGTGGTGGAAGATGTCCCTCCTTTAATGTCCAGTTTGACCTGCTCACATCGGCCTCCCAATCCTTGCCATTCAATATCACTTCCTCGTGGTAGTTCGTCCACTTGAACAGCCAAGAATGGTGGAATGGATGTGTGAGACTCAACAAGAGCAGTAAACTTGGGCAAATTGGGCACAACGGCATCAGTAAGCTCTTCTGTGCGACGACCATATTTGATATCCCACGCATCCAGCTGTGGTCCATCGTCATCATCCTCATCTTCATTGTCAGGCAAAGCATGCATTCTTTCCCAGAGGCGCCATGCCACTTGTGCTTGGGTATTAGCGTGTTCTCCGCGAGCCAAGAAGGCCACCGCACCAAGCCACCAGTTTACCTGCATGGCCTCTCCGATTCGCCAGAGGTGCTGGAGGGCCAGCACAGCTCGAAGACGGTAATTTTCAAGCCATGAACCTGAACCCTCCACTTGCGCCAACTCCATAGAACCAGGATCTAAAGGAATCTGGCCAGCAATGTAAACTAGTCTGCTAATGCTAGCGTTCTGCAGCGGAACTGACAACGCTTGGGAATATGGTCCAATGTTTGCGGGGGCCCAGTATGACCTAGATTGAACATGCAGGCCCTGGCGCCGGTCCCTCGCACCGAGGTCGACCACGAATGTGACCATCACCTTGACATTGGACGGGAGTCGGTCTCCGCACGCCACTGTAACTCGCGCGGGGGGATTGGGTTTTGTGAATAGCGAGACGTAGATATCATTCATTGATCCAAAGTCGGCCATTGAATTTAACAGCACGGTAGCGAAAACAATGTCGTCTGTTGATCGGGCACCCGACCTGGGGTGGGCGAAGGACTTGAGCACTTTCTCGACCTTGTCTGAAATCCCCTTCATCTGTTCTCCTGCCCCAGGACCAGCCTCGGGGGCTACAATATTCGAAATAGTCCACGTAGAACCAGACAGCCGATGTACCGGCTCACAAACAGGCCAATCCGGCGATCGAGCAGTACTCGTCAATGCCCGCCAGTTCGAATCGTCAAATGGCCCAGAAAGATCCAATGCAGATCCCAAAAGACCTTCAAAGACAGCATCTAACAGTTCGGGCCTCCTAATATCATTCGGCGTAAGCCCATCGCCAATCTCCCACGCACTCTTAGCCGTACACCTAGAACCCCTCAATCTAACAAAAGCAACACCTCCCTCCCCAACTCTCTCCTCGCGACTACCAACCTCAATCCTCTGCTTCCACAAGAAACCAGGCCCATCCAGTGCAAGCGTCTCATACTCCCCGCCCTCACCCAACACCGCACCACGAATATCTTCTGAGGCCGCAAACCTACTCATCGCCTTAACAAGATACCTTCGCATCATACGGCCGCCACTCCCAGCACCGGAGACATTCTCCCACAGGAATCCCTCGTCCAGACCGCCGGAGGCGACTTTGATAATACGAGCATCGCATCTGGCGGCTGCCATATCCTCCAAAAGCCCCGCCTGGCGTATTGCCATGGTATCAGCCGATCTGGCCGCAGGAGCAGGGAGAGATGGATACATCCATAGCCAAGCGAGGGGTACGAGGCCCAGACGGTTAGCGACGTTCTCGATTCGCGTGCGCTGGTATGTAGAGAGAATGGCGCCTGCGGAGACGGCGTTTGCTTCTGGATGGGCTTGTTTTATGCGCTGGAGCAGCGGGACGAGGGATTCGGTCTCGTCTTCGTCGGTTGTTTTTGTTCCGTAGATGCGGGATGTATCGACTGCGCCGCCTGTGATGGGTTGGCGGTAGAGGGGGATTTGGAGGGCTGCTTCGTAGAGAGGGATTATGCTGTGGCCGATTGTTTGGTACATGAAGCTGTCGATGTCTTCTTCTTCTTCGTCATATTTGGGCTGGTTGGGATTTGTCTTGGTGGTCTTGTCCTGTGGTTCTGGGTAAAGGTTGGCTAATGCGACCACTTTGTGGCCGTTGCGGATGCAGTGGAGGATCGAGTAGAGGGAGTCTTTTCCGCCGGAGATTAGGGCAATCACATTGAGCCCTGGAGCTGAAGGTTGTGCAGACATGGCAGCTATAAGCCCGGGTCTGGAGTCCAAGGTCCTTTTTTTTTTGCAGATTTGTTGGTGTTGCTGGGTGCGGGTGATGGGGGGGTACTTTTTGCCGTCCCCACCTTTGCCCAGGTGAGTTTATCGACAATCGATAGAGCGATAAGATCAGTACATCTCCAGGTCACGGGATATTTTCAATATTTCATACGTCTATAAAGTATCCGACTTAGTTCATTGAGTTAGGTGGAAACGGAAATGAGTACTCCGTGGGAGACCCAAAGCCCTAATTGAGTTCCTCTACTTTTACTATGCTTATATAAGGAGGTTTACCAGGAAAGAGTGTAGTAAGATTATGCTTGTATTTGATGCATATAAATCAACATCTAGAGATGTGACCGAGAACTAACACAACGGGGCAATTCCATACATGAAGGTATGGAGCAATGAGGGAAAATGGGGGTCAATTAACTTATACACGAATGTGACCAGCACAGAGAAACAGACAAAGAGCCAAAAAAAAGCACCAAAAAAATATTACATCGAATAGACAAAAACGAGCATGAACGAAACGGTAGAAGAAGGACAAAAAAAGGAAGGATAAAAAAGTCACAAGAATCGAAGTAAACAGGAGGTATACGAAGTGAAAACCGGAAGGTTCAAAAGTGTGAGGCACATTGCTCACGCTGAATGTGTTGGTCCAGGAGAGATTGGAATCAACAAATGAAAACAAAAGGAAAAAGGAAAAAAAAAAGAGCAAAACAAGGTGACAAAGGAAATAATTCCACACCATCCCCAGGCACTGCCGAAGACAGATGCCATTCGCTTTATATTTCGTTTTTTTTTTCTCCCTGGACTCTTTCTGCGCCCATGTGCCTTCACCAAAAGAACCGTTCGAGGCAATCCCAATGTGTATGTGTCCCCATGCGATATGTCAAAACGCTGAAAACAAAAAAAAAAATGGGAACCCCAGTTGCTGTGCACCGATGATTTAGTTTCCGACACCATGTATAAATGCCCGGACGCCAAACCCAATCAAGACCAATGTGGTCGAGTTTCCCAATGAAAGACTCCGACCGAAGAATGTATGTATTATATATGCAGTAGGAAGTCTCTTGGTCTCGTAAAGAAAAATGATGAAACGCAAAGTCCCTTAGGACAAGTCACGCTTGCGCTTCTTGACCGATCGGCGATCCACAGAGGTAGCACCGGTGACTTCAGTCGACCGAGCAGCCTCGTACATGACTTGGCCAAGGGCGCCAGCGTCATGCTGATCATCGAATGAGACAGAACCGGCATCGCTTGTATCAAGGACTCCCATGACAATGGAGCCACCACCGTGGGTACGGGCATGCTGAGCAAGGTTGTCACTGCGGGAGAACTTCTTGCCACACTCGTTGCACTCGAATGGCTTGTCTTGAGTGTGGAGAGAGCGGTAGTGGCGCTTGAGGTGTTCCTGTCGACGGAAGCGACGGGAGCACAGAGTGCAGACGAAGGTCTTGGAGGGATCCTCAGTCAAAGACTGCTTGCGACCCCGGCGGTTGACCGAGATGGGAGCAGACTCTGAGTCATCAACAGATCCGTCATCAGAGCAGCAGTCACCGGAGGACTCGCAGGCGGCCAGCGCCTTTGCTTCAGCCTCTTCTTCGGCTGCCATCTTTCGGGACTTGCGGTTGCTACGCTTCTTGATCTTGGGCTCCTCGATGTGTTCCTCTTCGCTCTCAACCTGAGGCTGGGCTGTCTGGGTCCACTCGAAGGATGGCAAACCATTGGCCATGAAAGTCTCGGAGTCATCCGAGTCTTCGAGGCTGTGCTCGCTCAGGAATCCATCATCCTCTACAGGGTAGGTGTGCATACGCTGGCGCTTGCCACCCATATAGACGGCATTGGCGGCAGGGTGGAACTCCACCAGGCGGTTCAGCTCATCATCAGAGTCGAGGTCTGAGAAGCTGTCAAAAGTCGGCAGCGAGCTCAAAGGATCCTGGGTCGAGGTGCTGAAAGAAGGAGATGGGTTCTCGTTGACGGGGAGCGTCACAGACGCGCTGCCAACAACGGCACGAGGCTCTTCCTCCTCACATGAGAGATTTGGCAGAGGAGGGAGATCCTGTGCGTGAACATTGACACAGGGCTCAACGGTGAGCTGTCTGGGATCGCAGAAAGATTGGTTAGACGCAAAAGATTGGGAGGCAAGGATGTCGGTCGGCACGGGCGAGGGAGAAGGTGAAAGCGAGGGGCAGGATGTTGCAGACAGAAGGTCTGAAGCATGAATGTGAGTGATAGAAGGAGGGTGGATGAAGACTATATCATAATTAGCCTTTCGCCCTTACTTATTTCCAATATCCACATTTCTCCTCTCA